TGACATATTCCAATCCTTGTACATTATTACGAAGGTTACTGCATGGTTAAAAAAAAATAAAACAAAACAAACTATACATTGATGGTGGATACCTATAGTATACTTGACGTGGAAAATACAAATGTCAATTATATACGTATATGATAAACGTAATTAAGAAGATAAAGATAAGATGTTTTGTTTTTGTCTTGATACAATATAAAAGATAGTATACCGTTAACTAGATTAAGTTCTAAATGATTTATCTAGATAATCCCAACACTGCCTCGTAATTTGACTCTATAACGATTTGGTGTTTTAAATATTATTTATACAGTAAAATTCTTGCGGCATATTTAGATTTTGTGCACGTTTTGCGCGTATGAGATTTGAATTAATAAAAAATGACAATGCACCGGCTCGCACAGTGATTTCAGTGAAAGAGTTTTTAATTAAAACAAAAAATCACTATAGCCCTGACCTGGGTCCATTGGGCTTTTAACTATTTCCAAATTGAAGGAATCAATGAAATTACGCCATTTTGAAGGAATGGAAAACATACAACGTGCGGTGACGGCAGTATTAAAGGAGTCTCATTCCCAGAAATGGGAAAGGCACTGGAATAAGTGCCTCAGGCTAAGGACAAGGGAATACTGTGAGTTTACGTTCTAAATAATGAAATGACAAATTATCGTTATTTAATTGTCACATATCGTGTAGTAGAATTACTGATAATGCACAGAGAAGAACTGCGTGTCGTAGAGTGATTATTATTTCCATAACATAAATAAAGTTAACAGTCTCCCCCCCCCCGGTAAAATTTCACTAGAGAATATTTATCTACCCGTAAAATATTCGAAGGATAAAATACCGCAGGAGAAAATTTACCTCCGGTAAAAATTTCAATTATTATTTTTTTAAATAAATTTTATTATCTGTTATTTCGTTAAATATATATTACTATAATATGGAGAGGGCTTTACTTTGTTAATAATATTATCGATTGTTAATTTACTACAGATGGACGTATAATTCCATTCTGCATAGTTTTACTGATATATGTAACGAAAAAACTATTCTGAGCGGAGTTCAGTTGATAGTGTTGCTTTTTAAACAATATATATCATATATTATAATATATATATATATTATGGTAAAATAATTGCATATGTATTATTTCTCCACACAAACAATATAATTTTTTTGATTTATATATTTATACACAATCAGTTATGAATAATAATGTTGTATATAATAATAATAATAATAATGTTAACAAACAAATTCATAATAATATAATTACTATAATTAGTATATTATTATATACTTGTTTACATCATTTATTTTATTTTTTGATATTCTAAAAATAATTATAGTAAGGTATAATTAGAAAGGTTAATAAATCAATTAAACAGTTATTAAAAAAAAACCATCGGAAAATTTTACCTCCCAGTAAACTATCTCTAGGGATATTTACCAAGGGGTTTAAGTTACACGGAGGTAAATAATCCTGGTTACACCGATATTACAGTTATAGTAGGATAAAACTCTGTGGTAATATCTTGTGTGTAGACATTATTGTATTTATTATTTGTTACAAATTCTTATCTTGTCGTTTGTTAATAAGAATGCTCGAACTATTATTCGCCAGTCAAACTATGATTAAATTAGATTAGTATTTCATCTAAACTGAACAATAAATTGATGATAATTGGTCGAACCAAGATTAAGTATTTTTCCAGTAGTTCTCGACCGAAACAAAAACAAGTTAGTTAATGGGCAAATTTTAATATTAGTAATACATCATTTTTCATTTATTGTGTTTAATTTTAGGAACACTTGTTTAAATGTCGGGAAGAATTTTCGAAGGACGGAGATCGTTTAAATTTTCTAAAAAAACGTCGGCTATCACCACTTGCTTAAAATTTTAATAGTTTTTTTGTAGATAGATTTTGTATTGATGATATTTTATATTAATATTTAATAACACTAATTAAAATACAATTATAATATTTTATATATTTTTAGATTAATTATTTATAAATAACAGATTATACATTGTTATAAAATGTGCGGTTTTCGGATTCATCGACTGTTTCATTCCGGTACCGAATTCAATACCGGAATACCAGTATCCGATTTCAATACCGTCTACTCAAGTAAAAATCGTCCTCTAAAACATTTTACATCGATAGATGCTTGTATGGCCGTATAATATATTAAACATTACGCAAAGTACGTTGAATATGTATTGGTTTAAAAAAAAAAAAAAAAATACAATAATAATAATGCGATTTCGTAACGACGAAAATAATAAAAACATAACATAAAATGTAAAAATAATAGTAATAAAAATAAATTGACAGTTGGCGCTATTCGAATAATAATAGTAAAATATTTAATACGACATTTCAATAGGCATGTATTTTATACTACTCATGTCTCGTATTGAATACAAATTATTCGTCTGAGAGTACGCAAAAAAAAAATAATAATAAATAAAACATTCAAATTTAAACAGCCCGGTTCACACGGTTTAATGTTATTTTTTAAAAAATATTTAACGCGTACGTCAACGCATTGAATATTTGAAAAAAGACTTTCAATACCTATTTGTATAAAAAAATGGTTCAGATTTTTCAGATCTTCGAGAGTTTCTATACAAATAGGTATACTGTTTCAATATGACAGCTACTGTTCGACATTCGGAAAAATAATTGTATAGACATTTAAGTACAACTACTATAACGTTTATATTGATAACATGTTTCAAACTACTGACGAAGTTTGCTGAGTACTGTTGGAATTCTGAAGTACAAATACACATTTTTGTCGTATGTCCGTTATAGATATACGAAGACGATAAATGCACATTCGACGTCCTCTTATAACATCCTTGAATTTAAAATACGTTAACTTTATTCCCGCTGCACCGCAACACACCCTATATTTGTATTATTTGTATTTTTTATTTCATCACACTAGATTCAAATCGTTCGTTCTTTGTATTATACTACTGCACTATTCGGTTGTATACGAAAATGTAATGTTTTTACGTAACTATAAGCATTATCATTTATACTCTGCGTTCAGTATGCAACGCACAACGATACGATATAGTTAACCTTTTCCGGAAACGCGTTTTTTTTTTTTATTTATTTTAAATAATTATTTATACGAAACATGTATTTTATTTTGTTTTTTTTTTTTTTTTTTTTTTTTTTTTTTTACTACCTACCTATATTTGTCAACGAAAAGAAATATTATATAATATTCTAACGTTTATCCGGGAGGGAAGGGTTTCCTGCAGCAATCTTTCGTGGGTGAATATATTATTATCGTTTTAGGTACCGTGAACCATCCGTGAACAGTGGTTGGGTAATCTCGATAAAATCTAAATACTACTATTCTGCCTTACCTAAACTTAAAAGTGAAATATTTCGTTAATGGATTAACGGAAATCAAAAATTGTAACATCGAATTGTTTTTAAACTAATACTCTAATATTTATTTATATAATTTTACGGAATGTATTCAAAATTGAATGAGAAAATTTGTAGGTAAATGTATTAATGTAGATAGCATACGACATTAATAAATCCACTGAAGATAGCACGTGTACCGGAATTTTTAATACAGGTGGTCGTTTGAAGATCAAAAGTCGGGAGTCGTTTCCTCCCCGAAAATGTGACAAATAGTGGCAACGTAACGTTTTAGAAACGTTTGTTCCTTGAGTTGTCAAAGAAAAACAAATTCCAAAAACAGTTAATATTTTTCCAGATGACACAATAGGTTTAATAATAATATCATTGTGGGGCAACTTGTATATTATGATGTATACTGCAATATTAAATTTGTAAATAAATTTTTCTTTGTTCAGCTAAAACTGATTTAAACGGTTAGAGCTATATTTTTAAATGGTTCAACAGAGATTTTTAAACACATTAATCATTATAATACATATAAATCGAATTTACTCATATGAATAATTTTATTCGATTATCATGTTACGGGGCAATTTGTCTACATAATAGTATGGCTTGTAATATTGAATTGTACGAACAAAATAACCAAGGTAGTCTTGATTTCAATGGCAAGGGCGCCAAAATATTGCTAAATCACATACATGTGGAAATGATTTGAATTTAGATCTATTATAATAATAATATAAGCTTCTATACTTCAGTGATTGGTCGATCGGTTAGTCGGGGACACGATCACAATCGATTCGATTTTCGATCGAAAATTGATATCTATAACGTTGTATGATTTGCTCTGACGAATTATTATATTAGTATAAAAGAATCCTTATTAATAAATTAATAAATTAATAAATTCTTATTAAACTCGGCATATAAAAACGAAAGACGGCCGAGATGAGAAAAACAACACTATATTATACAATTACCACAATGCATTCACAATCCATGAGAAAAACAACACTATATTATACAATTACCACAATGCATTCCTTGATAATATTATAAACGTATAAATACCGCGAGTAAACATATACTATGCATTAATTATGTATAACGTAACAATGACGATATTAATATTACAAAACGACGATCAGAGAGTCTTTAGAGGAGAGAGAGAGAAAGATAAACTGTGGCGATAATTGAATTGTTATAATTGTACAAGACGTCGGGTAATTGCACATAAATGATAGCTCTATCATAGATCACCTGTAGTGTGACCAACAGATGTGTTTTTAAGTCGATTCCACGGAGAAACGAACCAAAAAATGTGTAAGAGTACTATAGGTGGATTTCGGAGGCTATAGGAGGCTTATCTTCCAAATACTCCTGCAAGATATTTAGATATATTTTGTGATACATGGATTACATGAAGTACAAGAAGAGACCCCTACATCATCCCCACAGGTATGCTCCCACTAGAGATGGGTAACATTTTCCAAACATCGATGTTGTCGATACATCGGATTTTCGAGAAAAATATCGATGTTTTAAAAACTTTATTATAAACAATATAAACATTAATATAATTATAATTATATGTCACATGTATTTCTTAAAATTGAAGTTAACTGACATACCTAACCATAAATTATCGTCTAAGGATTTTAAAAATAAAAATTGATTTAAATGTTTAGAAGTTAAACGATTCCTGTGTTTATTTAATGTCAATCCTGCCTTAGGAAATAATCTTTCGCTTGGGACAGACGTCACAACAGGTACTAGATATTTAACGACCACTTTTGATAATATAGGATACACTTTGCACACATCCTTCCATCTTAGTAATGGATCATCTGATAGCCGGGCATGACTGCTTTTCAGGTATAGATTTAATTCGTTGGGAAATGCACTATCCTGTAACTGTTCTCCGTGGAATTTACGGCTGGTAGATTGTTGAATATATTTTGCATGATCTTGCCATGATAAGACCATAACACGAGAGAGATGAGTGATGATATGAGATTATGAGCGGCGTCCATGATAATGGTGTCCCGAGAGAAAAAACAGTGTGGCGCAAAATACAATAAAAATGAAAACTTGTGTGATAACTTTTGGTGTGAGAGAAAATTGTAATACAAAAATTTCAAAACATCGATATTTTCTTATATGTATCGACCTTAAACATCGATGTTTTTTGACCACCTCTAGCGCCTCAAAATTTGTTAATGATTTTTATTTTTACAGAGTGGTAAAACGATGTATTCTACCAAAATGCTTGATGTAAAATTGGCCAAAGTCACAAATGTCCGAAGTGAAAAACTTCCGAAGAAATATTTTAGTTTGCTGTAGTTAAGCTTACATTTTTGAAATCGTTGGTAATATTACCGAAATTTCGAATTTGATACATAGCAGAAAATTAGATAAAAACGAATTACTTGTATTTTGATTTCAATTTATTAACTTCCGTCTTTACTAAATAACAGTTCTAATTCACAGCATTGATTTCATAAAATTATAAATTATAAAATCAATTCGCACATCCGTTACGTTCTCCTCAATGTTAGTTAAATTTATAAATGTATATTCGCATTATAAGTACCTGCTAATTTACCCAGTTTATTTTATAATATTTTAGATTCGAAGCGTAGCAAAGAATGCATTGGTTTTACAATGATGATTATTTATTTATTAATTTTTTAATTTTTTTTTTATCTGTGAATAACTTTTCTACCAAAAATATTGCCTTATATATTAAGTGTAGGACCTTTTCTGAAAAGAAATTTGATGTATTTAATACTTTAAAAAGGCCATTTTTAAATTTTCCAAGCGGTTCTCATAATAATTATTTGGGAAACGGGAAAATGTACGTACAATGTATACAGTACACGTATAAAAGACACTTCACTCCGAATCGTTTTTAATTGCAATTGTTAATCGTTGTGTACATATAAATTAAATTTCCATTTGTATCCTATCTTTCTAACTTCTCACTTAGAACAGTGACCCACTCATCGTGTGAAGTATGCCCAACATTTTTGTTTATAATATCGGCTTGAATTATATATTTTATTGTGTTCCAATAATAATATTATTACAGTAATTTTTTAGTAGTATTTAACCAGTTTCATGGGAAAATAATGTTATACTGTTCCTGATCATATTTTTTATTCAAATCATCCACTACAGCGAGATCTTGTGGACAAATTGAGCAGACACAATGTTCGTTCGGTTCAGAAACATCATATCCAGAAACATTGAATTCGTGGGGCACATTATCTTCAATAGTTTTTGTATTTAGTAAATTTGATTTTCATTTCGTCTATGACTGTAATACAGTGCTAAGAGTCTAAGACCTTCCAAATTCCTCAATAGCCCTTTCCAAAATGTTATTATGTTTTCTAATGTTATTGTGACGATGCCGGTATAATTATTATTGACTTTGAGATTAATCGCCAATTTATAGAAAATCAATAAATGTTTAAAAATAATGTTTTAATATTATGGAATTTAATAGGTAAAATATTTGTATAGAGGGGTTTGATGTAGGAAATACTTTTTTGTTTTTTATTCATATAAAATACAAGTTGTCCAACGGAGATCTAATAAATCCGATTATTTTTAACTGAATTACAAATAAAAAAAAAAAAACAAACAAACGTTAGATACATTTTCTTGGTTTTCCTACGTTTTCCTAATTGTTAAGAAAACTAAAAATCAAAAAATGATCACCCCAACTACACAACATTTGCTTTTCGAAAGGTTGCTACACTACTTTACACTACTTGCTGATTTGAGTAAGATTTCTGATAGAATAGTTGTTAACAGACACACACACACACAAACACACGGTAAGATAAATCAAATACATTCCTCACTTCGCGCTCAGAATCTAAAAAAAAAAAAAACAACAAACAAATCATAGTATTACATTCCTCGCTACGCTTTAATTCTAAAACGACACGTGCTGAATATTTTTAGTGAAATACCAATTTGAGAATTTCAGAAATTATTAAGAGGTAGGTATTCAAAGCACGATTGTCGAATATTTAATATTATATCTATCGGACCCGTATTTTTATTATTATTATTATTATTTTTTTTTTTTCTATAATGACGCCCGCGGTCTTATAATGTTAAACTGGAAAATCAATGGTTTTTTTTTTCCCTTACTTTTATTCCCTTTCTCTCCCCCCAAAATTACCGATCGTAATTGTAAAGTTTTGAAACGTTCCGGCGGCGGGCAGTTTGACGATCGAAAAACGTTTGACGCTTAAAAATAATAAATCGCCTGTGGTTAGCGCTCGTGCATTACAATACACGCGATTTCGGACATTCCGCGACGTCCGCGCGAAACCGATTTTTAAGCGTAAAAACGAAACGATTAGCCGGCAATACAAAATTTTTATCGCGACCGCGCGTTATCGGCTGTTCACCCCGCCCGCGAATCGAGTCACGCCGTAATGCCGCGTACAGAGACTGTTCAGTGGACTTCCCAACGACGACGTAGATAATTTACCATTATCGAAAACCGCCGCTCGGAACACGTCCGCCGACCATTTCCAACGATGAAGTCCCGCGCGGTGGTTTTGCTCGCGTTCGCCGCTTGTCTGATCCGTCCGCCGGCGGCCCGGGCGATCATCCACAACGGGGCCAACCCTTACGGACAGTATTTCTATCAACCCGCCGTACAACCCATCGTCCTGTCCGACTCGGAACCTGTTTATAACAGAGGTACACGCACGGTTTTAACGTTCTTATTGTACACGGCGCGCAGTGATGATTCCGATGTATCGGAGAGTATTGACTCGTTTCGTATATTTATTTTTTTGTACTCGAGTAACTTTGTTTTTTTTTAATTTTTTAAGCGTTTTTATGTACTTTTTAAATAAGTAATTAGCTCCGTAATGTTTGGGGATGCTCAAACGCCACGTAAATCATGCTCCGCTTTCATACATTCCCCCTACCCGAACTTAAAAGTGAAATATCTCCTCGACGGGTCAACGGAAATCGAAAATGTCTGCATCAAAACGTGTTTAAACAACAATTACCCCGTTTATTTATGGTTTTTTTTTTTTTTTATGTAGTTTGCCATCAAACAAATTAAAAGTAGGTGGTTGGTCCACACCCAAATATATGAGCGACACAAAATAATGAATATTTAAAATTTAAAGCTACTTATATTTCCTAAAATAATAAAAAGTTTATACTTTCCCAGATATCGCATTGATCGATGGCGACCACAATGAGACATCACCAAAATCCCAATTACCAGGTTACGGTATAATATTATAATTGTTTTTCTCTCGTCGTCCATTTTATCGATAATTATACACCAAACATATTGAATGCCAAGAATATTATGATGTACCTAGTCAAATATCGGGAAAATCGACAATAACTTAATGTTCTACAAATAATCTTATATGATATTATATATGTTTTTTTAGAACATCAATGCCGCCTCAATAAATGTCCCGAGTGGAACTGTGAAGACGACTCGGCTATAATCCACGGACACTGTTGCGGATGTCCCTACATGCCGGGAGACAAACCAAGTATGTAACGTGATCTTTCTATAGCTTTAAAATAACAATAATAAGTGACCGGAATAGTATCTTGATAACCTTCGTATATTTATATCTTATCCAAATAAATGGAAAATGAGTTATCCGAGATAAATAATTAAATCAACTATGTAAATTTGACGTTTTTAATATATTTAAATAAATTATAAATGACAATTATTTTTCAAATTCTTAAAAATGAGATTTCAATTTTTAGACAATGGAAACAAATGGTTCCGATGCTTTCTCCACGTATTTTGTTAATAACCCAACCAATAAACTTTCAACACTTTTTTGTATGATAGAAATGAAAAAAATCGTACGTTTTTTTTTAATATGTACAATAATTAAATTGTTATTTATCTTTTATTTGTATCTATATAAATTGTATAACTTATATCTTTATCATTACAATGCATTTATTTACATACATAATACAACACTAACATATTAATAAATAATTTATAAACAATTAGTATTGTTTGTTAATGCCGTCCACTACGAGATAGCGCCATTTGTTGTTGAATATTTAATAATATTGTGACGATAAATCATAATTTAATTTACCGAAATTCGGTGCGTTAAAGAAATTATTTTTCCATAATATGCGTTTTCGTAAAATTTCAAATGAATACGTGTGAACAAAGAAAAAAATTGCAATTATATCCTAAGTAATATACACTCTCGTAGTAGGATGGCTTTAAAAACCTCTCAAAATACAATGAAGTAATTTGAATTGCAGATTTTGTCTGTGTGCCGGCGTGGCGCGGGTACTAAAAAGTAGTAAATAATAGTTTTTGAAAATTCAGAACAAACGTATCCGAAATGAACGTCCAGTAATTTTTTTTCAGCTATAATATTCTATACGATTTTCAGTGTAATACAATTTAAACATGCACATTTCAGAAAATTGTTTTGTCACAAAAAAAAATAAATGCCTGAGATAGTAAAATAAATATGTAGTTAATAATAATCGTATTATACCTAAAACAATGTGGGTTTTTTTTTTTTTAAGCGATATATTATAATCCAGCAATTTAATTTATTTTTATGGTATTTATTGTTATTAGATAACATTCGAGTTTTGTGCGCCGACGATTTAAAATGTCCATACAAAAAGGATAAGCTGTGTTCCGACTATCAATTTATGTTGCAGTGTTGTTGTCCGCCTAAAAATCCCATCTTATCTTTCATATTATATGAAAGATGAAAATATTTTTGCCATGTAACAAATGTTTATCTACAAGAATTTTTCAATTATTTCGACTAATTTCCCGAATTGTGTAACTCTATTAAAAAAATAAATAAAATACATATTTCAATTATATGCTGTGTTATTATTTTGTCACAACTATTAAAAAAAAACCGGAATAACTTACGCTACTGTTGTCTATGAGAAGTTAACAAGGTATATAAGACAATATTTTAGTTTACACAGGTATTGAGAGTAATATTGGTAAACCATTATTGCGACCGAAAAACTATTCCGGACGGATCACGGTAAACGATTAAGGTTATAAGTCGTGTCCTTCCTTGTAGCCCATGTAACCCATATATTGATAAAAATAAAACTAACGCATCGTCATATTTTATTGATAGTTCTAAAACATTTTTAGAAATACTGTCGAGAATTTCCAAAAAAAAAATATTTCCAGTTCAATAATAACTTGTTTACCGAAAAAGTGTTTTAGAAAACAAAAATGTTTAATTTTACTTATTTACGCGCTTAATTGTACTGATTATTTGTGTTTTCTCGATAATTTTAACACTACAGTTTAACGTGAATGTCCGGTGAAAAACATACGTATTTATTTTATAAAACACGGTCTGATACGTTGCAACGGGTTTTCCTGTAATCTACTGATAGCCATGAGGCGAGAAAGCCTACTGTACGTACCTCGCCCGAATCGGTTAATGTATTTTATGAAATATTTATACAATACGATTATAAAAAGACGGACGTACATTGCACGATAGGTGGGCCACTGTTGTAGGTAAGAAACCGGGAAGATAGAGAGGAATTTAATGTATTTTTGTACGCAATGATCAATATTTGCAAACGAAAAATAATTCGGAGTGTAGTCATCGGTTATATATGTTTTGAAAGATCGTAATATTTACGATTTGAAAATAATACTATTCGTAAGTTTTCCCGTTTTTTCTCGGTTTTTCCAATTATTATGAAAACGGCTTAGAAAATTAAAAAATTACTTCCTTAAAGCACCACACCAGTCAGATTTCCGTTTAGAAAAAGTACTATACTTGAAAATCGGAGCAAAATCACTGGTAGAAAAGTTGTTCACAGAAAATAAAAAAAAAAAATAAATAAAAATCATTGTAAAACCAATACATTCCTCGCTCCGCTCAGAATCTAAAATCATTAGGTTATAGAACACTAACAACGAAAAAACCATAGGTACTACTGAATATAAAATCGAAATTTGGAATACATAGATAACATTTTATGCGAGTTATACAGAGGTAAACCAATTGAGATTGTGAAACGCGACTAGACGACATAGACATAAGAAATTGCATTATTATCTAAAAAAAATTGGTATAGAACACATTGTTTTTAAAATCGGTCTGTAATACATTCAAGGTGTGTTTAAACGTATTTTCCTGTATCTGTATACATTACACAGTGACTATATTGTTACCATCGTATTAGTAAATTATATTATAATATTTTTATTTAATACAAAATACATTAAAAGAACATTAAGTTGTGGTGCCGTGGTGGTAAAAACGTACTCTTTACTCAGTCGTGTCATCGTATTGTTGTTTGCTACATTCAACGTTATCATTTAATAGGTTATAGCCATAGGCCATTCGGTTACCGTTTTTTCCCAAACGGTTTCCATATGAGACAACACAAATAACATTCCTTCCCATTTCACCGCCGACTAAGAACTTCATAAAAAAAAAAACATAATAAAACATATATTGGTTTTTTTTTTTTCATTTTTTACAAAGCTATATAAATGCATAAATAATCGATAATCGTCAGTTCGGGCTATACAGGTTAAACATTTTATTCGTTTCTAATTACAAAATAATAATTTCAATAATGTTCGTGTTTTCGTCTCAAATTTTCGCCCGTTTATGAGAATCCGTACGAAAAGCATTGATTTTCGTGATTTTTTTTAAAAATCCTGATTTACACCTACCCCAAATACCTACGTTATTACACTTGGTAAAATAATAACCAGACTAAAATCAAAGGCACGAGGTCAGTGATGTACCTAGAGTTGTTCAATAAGGGTGCTAAACTTGAACAAACTTGACTAAAGAAAAGTATTTTACGAAATACATAATAATTGTGCAATACAATGTTATTTGTATTTAGTCGAATAAGTAGCACAAATATGGAATGATTATTATTTTATTATAGTAATAATAATTTGCCAATGCTGATTAATTTATACTAATTATTGTAATCCAATATTGGGGGGGGGGGGGGTGTTTAAGTCCCATTAACCATCCCCCTGGGTACGCCACGATACGAGATTGAAACTATACTATACGGACTGCTGTGCGTGTTTTTTTTTTCTGACGAATAGCCCGTCGAGAGTTAAGTATACACACACGTATGTTCCTACGTACAGTTTACTAGCCGTTAATCAACGATTCAAAACACGCGGAGGCATTGGGCTCGTGCGTGTTTAAGGCTTTTGTATACGTGGTAAAAAAAAAAAAAATTACATACCTATACATAATATTTATTATCATAAATGCTCTGTCGGTCGCCGTCGTCGTCTAGGACAACTGTTTATTTCCCGCGGACCTAAAAGCGACGACGACGCCGGCGATTAGCATAAACACAAACGGGCGAAAAGCCGACACAAGACGAACGACCTTCGTCCATTTACACTATAAAGCCCAAAGCCGCCGTCCTACTTACACTTCTAAATACTTATTATAATATATGTACTCTTGTGTGTGTGTATTATTGTACTTAGTACAAATACTACTTCTACTACTAGGACGAGTACGTGTTATTATTATTGTTATTATTGTATTTATTGTGTACGCGGTGTTGAAAAAAACCAAAAACAAAAAAAAAAAACGACTGATTGAAAACCAAAAAAAAAAAAAACTACCTATACGGCTCGTGCTGTGGACGGTCGACCGCGGTCACTATACAGCATACAATAATAACAATAATAATAATAATAATAATGGTAATTTCAAGTTCGAAAAGTCTGACGTTGCAGCGGTCTCGATATTGTTTTGTAGTCCAGAGGTAAATGCGTTTTTTTTTTTTTTTTTCTAACCAATCCTAATGGCCTATGACCACAAAACTTACCGTATTATACCATTATACCATTTTAAAAAATCAACTCAAATCTATTTTGTAGCTGTAATATTGTAGTAAATAAACAGCTGTTTATACATAGATAATTTAATATTATAGTCATAGGTAATAGTATAATATAAAAACTCGGTCACTGTATAGATATAATAATAATCAAAATTGGACAGTAATTAGGTAGTTAAAACGTTAAGTAATTAGCTACTTTTCTTTTGATGATAGAGTTCCAAGAATTTTCAAGAATAACTCTACTGAAAATAGTGGTTAATTCGCGTTATAACCGAACGCCTGTCACTGTAATTTTGACGAACAGATAGCGCTACTAATATTCGTTTTTAAATAACAATTTAGATTGTTAAAATTTTGTTAGAAATCTCTAAAGATATTTTTAAAAATGTTTTTTTATTAATTATCAATATAATTCAAATATTTTCATTTCCGTTTTCGGTACGTCATTAGAATGAATCAATTAATTTCAGTAACGTTTGTTTAAGTTCTAGAAATGGGAATGAATTTCTACGTAATTAATGATTAAAATATGCTTACGAAAGAGCAAATTTTGAATATTGGAATATTAATGCATATTTGTTGAAAAACATTAAGTACGTAATCACTGGCATAGAACATAGGTTTTTTGCAAAAAGTTTAAAAGTTGACATAGAAGTTGAAAATTATAAAAAAGAAAAATGTATAAAAGTCATTGAGTATAACTACTTTGATAATTTTTATAACTACTAAAACTCCACGCTGAAAAAGATTTGTTTCATATAATTAATAGATCTAAAAAGTGTATAACATATTTTTGCAGACGTTAAGGAGTAATTTATAATTTGATTTGAATTGTTTATGGCATTATAAAATACAATTTTAAGTTGAGCATTTTAAGTTACCTCATAAGAATATGACAGAATGGAAATGTTAGAATGAAACAGGGTGGAAAAAGACATGGCGTGACATTTGTTAAGCTTAACCGTACGATTAAGGCGCTGGGTTCAGTCACAGAAAGCTTTGCGGTCTGGTTGAAGCAGGAGACGGCCAGAGGGCGAGTTTATTTTAAGGTACAATTTTAATCATCGGCCAATAAAAGGAAATCAACAAATGAAATACAGTCCGAAAAAGAATGGACGAATAATATGAACGGCATGGGACAGAGATGACCAAATATACTATTTAAATGTATCCAGAATAACTTTTTTTTTTTTATCGGAGTACGTATACGTATTAAAATATTTTCTTTTGAAAGTATTTGAATATCGATACAAATATAGAACTTTTGTTTTATCCGATACATTTAACGGGCATTGAACAATTATTGTTTTCCGAAACGTTTAAAATATTATTATACACGGAGTGGTACGTTATGAAACACACGAAATCATAATATTAAAATAATGCGTGTCGTGTACCTGTGTTATGTACCCTCATTGCGTCGCCGCGATGCACGTCAAAAAAACCGTACGATTACGTACGTTTGTCGGCGGCTGGGTCGAAACGGTGACGCGACAATCGGTAGGGTAATTTTTTCCAAAACACTCACGGAACCCCCCGTATTATTATTACCAAGCCACCTCGCCGCCGCCGCCGCCGCCGCCGCCAAAGTGATGAATACGTTGATTACAATATGATAATATTAATATGAATAGGTAGAAAATTATAATACGTAAACGGTACCCCGGCACACAAACGTCGTTAATTTTACGTCGTCCGCCGCGTGTAATCCAACGAAAATAAATAATTATCATAATAATGATGCGGTCGACTTTAGCAGCATTTTTCAGATTTTTCTCCGGCCTCGTCGCTGGAAAATAATATTGTATCGCGACATCATAATATTACCATGTGCATATATACGGTAGTCGTGTGAGACGGGATGATTGTTCTATAGGGACCAAAAAAAACCCCGAAATTAAGATAACGGATAATCGACGGCAAACTATATATAGACTACACAATGCAGACCGTGTAGAGAGTGTGCGGGAGTTAATCGATATATTTAGTATCTATCGAAAA